CGCATATATTTTAACGAAAATTATTTTCCACGACAAATGCGCTTGTATTCCCCCCCACATTTTTTTTCAAGAATTTTTTGTGCAGTCTTCCTCGTATTGACTTTTTGTTGAAATATATGCAGTCCGATGTAGTTTTTCATCCTGATTCCGAATTTATTATTTTGTTGTTCAGTTGAGCTATGAAAACGAAAATTGGAACATACAGAATGATTTTTTACCATTTTATCACAAAAAATGTGAAAGTATTCAATTTTCTTAACAATAAAATAAAATTAAAAAAACTAAATAAATAATTTTGAAACTCGATAAATCTGATGATTCTAATCAGACAAGACATTTGATCTTTTCTTGTTCCATAAAAGACTAGATAGGTTTATAAAAGTGCTTATAAACACATGTTTCAACGCAATCTATTACGAATAAAATTTTTTACTTTATAAATCTTAAATCTAAACAAATGATATTTACCCGCTAAGTTTTTGATGCTGAGTAAGAATAATATACTTTGGAAGAGTTTAGAAAAAAAAATGATAAAAACTACAGCCAATTTAAGAAAAAGTTGACTTTTAGTCATACATCTCATATTATTCGTTTCTTAGGCCTTTTTCAGTGAGAGAGTGACCTAATTAAAAAAAAAATTAATTAAATGTTCGTGATCAACTCATCGAACTCTATCAAATCATGTATAAACAGATTAAAAATAAAATCCAATCGAATTTTGTGTTCCCCGCACCTTATTAAACTTCCATATAAAATAATTGAAGTAGCTCTTTCTTTCATATGTCTGTAAGATGACTTAATTTAAAAGTAACGTTAAAGTACTAAATAGTGCAATTAGTTTCAGAACAAAACGAGAATATGTAAATAAAAAAAAAGACCACATCAAATTACAATCTCTGTCCCGCAGACCTTTTTTCAAAAGTCTTACAACTAACATCTGATAATGTCCAAAAAAATGTCTTATTTTGATATTAAAAGAACAAAATTTTTTCTAAGAGTCTCATCAGAATTGAGAGTTTATCAGATTAGTATATCATGTTCATAATATTTTATCATAAATTTGTGCCATTGCCTAACAGCAGCCATTTGTACTTCTATCATTTCATATTTACTCACATTTTCAATTTTCTGATAAATGTCATCTAATTGGATGCATTCTTTTTTGGCAGCCATTTTCTTCCTTGTCTTTTCATGTCTATTTTTGAGCTCTTCAAGCTGTTTCATCAACTTTAAGTTGAGTTCGGATGAACTTTTCTTAGCGCAGATATTATCTTCTTCTTTAATCATTCGGTTCATGCCTACCAAGAATGGATCATTTTTTGAAATTTCGACCGGTCCCAACAGGAAATGAGCGAATTCAGCACTCGTTTGACAGAAAGCATCAAGCATTTTTGTCATATCGTTCTCAGATGTGCTTGCTAAATCATCACATTTTTTATATCCAATTTCATAATCAATTGGATAGTGATCAGATGGATCACATTGACAAGTTCGACATTTATTGTGAAACACATGTAAACTATCCATTGTAATCCAAAAGTCAGTGACTTGCAAAGATTCACGAGGACATTTTAAGCAAATAGCTGTTGTACATTTGATAATTTTCGGATATAACTCAATAGAAAATTTACGTGACCCTGAATACCACAAACTAAGATTGCGAAGAATATTTCTCATTGCTTCTAACATAGGTCGAATCATCAAATTAATTTGGAGTTGTGCATGTTTCATCGAATGGGATTCATTAGGAACGATACCTATAGACATCTTAGTGCGAATATATTTGAGAAGTCGATTTGATTCACTAGATGATTTCTTCCAACTATCATTGTACTCTTCTTCTTCAATGTCCTTGAAATCGATCTTATTCAATCTTGCCACTAAGTAACGAAATGATTCACTGTCGAAACAAAATGTATTCTCTTTTATAAAAGGAATCTTTTTCATTGGAAATGAATCGAGTAAGGTTCTGAGTGCAGGAGCTGTATTTCCTGGTGTATAAAATGTTGAACGTGAATTAGTAAAACAAAATATGATCTTATCGCAAGTATTTTCACCCAGCAAATCAATGAATTGTATAAAACATGAACGAAAGAAAATATTAAGTCGTACATTATTTGGTTTCAATAGAATACAAATAGCATTCAAGTGTGTCAGATTGGTAATATATGATAATATATGTTGGAGATTTAGATCATCTTGACTGGATCCATGTGTATCTCCAATGCCGGGAGTATCAATAATGCGCAATTTTTTATCACGACTTTCGTCGTCTCTAAGAGTAAACACATATGACTTACAATGTTGAGTTACTGAGTGACCAAGATTATCATGGTCTTCATTGCTTAAAGTATCATTTCCCTCTAATTTGACAATATGTTCTGTAAAATTATCACCAATTGTCATAATAAATGAAACAGGTATGAGTACAATAGGATTGTTCTCGGCTTGTTTGAGTTCATCAAATTTGAGATAGTTAACAAAAGCATTGATGAAAGTCGATTTTCCAACACCTGATTCACCAAGAAGTAAAATATTAATACTTCTATCATTTTTCGGTCGTTCGGCTGTTAATGTTATCTGCGGTTGTGGAATACTTGCATCATTCTTCTTTTCAAGGGTAGGCAAAATGATGATATCATTCAGTTTGTACGAGCAAAAAGAGAAATCAACATAGATCAATTTTAACTGAGGATTTTGTTCACGCTCCTTTAGCAACTGACCACAAAGAGTGTGCCATTTTGATTGATTGTTTTTGTATAAATTATCATTGGCACATATGATACGTGTACACTTGGAATCAGGCACAAGTTTCTGTTCAAGTTTTCGTTGATCATCGCCATCTGCTATACCTCGATCAATCGCATTTTGATATATAAATTGTTTGTCTAATAAATCTTTGATCAAGTGCTCTTTTTTGTCCATTGCTTTCACATGATCAGTGAAATTGTTTATTATGTTTCTCAATTTTCTTGCTTGATCGTTGTTTAATGCGTCAGAAATTTCACTCTGATCGATTTCACTGCGACGGACATTGATTACTAAATTTTGAATCCGATGAATTTCATTTGTGTACGTCGCTTTCAGCTCATACCAGTTTGTTCGCATCTTATTAAGTTCGACCATCATATGTTCTTGTAGGTTTGGATGATCTTGGTCAATTACTTTGTTTAATTTTTTGAATTCAAGCGATAATTGAGCTAAGTAAGACTCGATTTTAAAGACGTCGTCGTTTTTTAGCTCGATGAATATAATTTTCTTTTCATTATTCATAAAATAAAAATATTCGATGGGATAAAGATTATAGCCATAGGGTTCGAAAGAATTACGGTTCCGCATCAATGATGAAATACGAAGGAGAAAATCAGATATCGAGCTGATTCCAGTGAAACCATATATATTGGAGAAGGCTTGTGTGTGATAAATTTTTTCAAGAAAGGGTTTGTCCTGCTCAGACAACGTTACATTAGCCTGATCATTGCTCAGAGAAATACATAGGTTTTGAAGAGCATGATCGATCGCCTTGGTGTATTCATCATTAGGAGGTAGTTGTAAAACAACAACAGCATCGATTCCCCAATTAACTAACACAATCATATGAGTAGCAGTATAATGCGATTTTGGTGATATCGTGCTATTGAGTGACTTGAATTGATCATCTAACAAATAGTCTGTCTGACTATGATACTTGTAGCAGAGAAAACGAGTGTATCTATCGATTGGACGAGAATAGTTAATTAATGCGCTAATCCTATCTGCTGGAATCATCTGTACAGCGACGCTCAGTCGTAGTTCAGCTTCTATATTCCACCATTTTAAGAGGTTCGTACATT